TGTGTGTTCTATCCCTGTCCAGTCGACTCAGTCGTTGTGTCCTCGGGCTAGACACCTTATCTGCCTTGCCTACTGATGGTGGTCAGAGGGTCCGGTGTTGCCTGTGTATGGCAGCCTTGTTTCTGTCAGGGCAGCTGTGGCTACAATTGTCGTTTGCCGTCATCAGTGTGTGAAAATGTGTGTGCATGTGTGAATGTCTGTAGTGTGAAGCGCTTTGAGTGTCCTGGATGGATAGAAAGGCCCTGTATAAGGACAGTCCATTTGATATGGGGTGCCTGGTAGGACTTAAACTATATTTTCTCTCTCACACACAACTATAGACTCTGTCACATACACTCACAAGACTATATTTGCTCATACATACTATAAAAACATCACACATGCATTCAAATAAAAGCATGCACACAATAAAACAGTTGCACACACATACTATTAAAATGTCACATGCACGCTAAGAAAAGCATTCACACACACGCACAACACAACAGTTGCACACACATACTATTAAGATATCACACATGCACACTATTAAAAGCATGCACACACACACAAAACACAACAGTTGCACACACATACTATTAAGATATCACACATGCACACTATTAAAATCATGTACATGCACGCACAACACAACAGTTGCACACATACTATTAAAATTTCACACATGCACACTATTAAAAACATGCAGACACACATGCACAACGCAGCTGTTGCACACATACTATTAAGATATCACACATACACGCTATTAAAAGCATGCACACACAACACAACAGTTGCACACACATACTATTAAGATATCACACATGCACACTATTAAAAGCATACACACACATGCACACCACAACAGTTGCACACACATACTATTAAGATATCACACACAAATACTATTAAAAGCATACACACCCAACACTAAACCACCTGACACAGCTTGAATGAGAGGTAATACATGTGTGTATGTGTGTGGTAATAATACTAGTGTGAATGAGAGATAATAATACATGTGTGTGTGTGTGTGGTAATAATACTAGTGTGAATGAGAGATAATAATACATGTGTATATGTGTGTGGTAATAATACTAATGTGAATGACAGATAATAATACATGTGTATGTGTGGTAATAATACTAGTGTGAATGATAGATAATAATACATGTGTGTCTGTGTGTGGTAATAATACTAGTGTGAATGACAGATAATAATACATGTGTGTATGTATGGCAATAGTACTAGTGTGAATGAGAGATAATACATGTTTGTATGTGTGTGGTAATACTGTACTAGTGTGAATGAGAGATAATACATGTGTGTATGTGTGGCAATAATACTAGTGTGAATGAGAAAAAATAAATGTTCGTATGTGTGTAGTAATAATACTAATGTGAATGACAGATAATACATGTGTGTCTGTGTGGTAATGATACCAGTGTGAATGAGAGCTACAGTACATGTGTGCATGCGAGCCTTGTTCTAGTGTGTGTGAGAGTGCATCCTGTCCCTGAAGAGGCTGGACTTATTTTGGACACCAGATCACACATTTGTTGATCCCACACGTCCAATAGGTGGCAGCATTGCAGACGTATCAGCCAGAGAAGAAGAAGATGCTCCAGAAAAGAAGAAGAAGATGATGCAACCTGGCTGATGGAAATATCAATAAGGAGGACCAAATAGGTCAAACTGCTGCCATTTTAAATAGTATTTTATCATCACCGGATGCAACAAGCAGTGTGACATGTGCCTTAAATGAAGGACCTCGTGTGACTGCCCACAGTGATTCTGTTGAGACAGAATTAGCGTCTCTTTTTTGTGCTGGAGCAGCTAGCAGAAGTTTGGCTGTGACACCAGGAAATCAAGGCAAAGTATTGCTTTTATTCTGTTTCCAATACCGTGGAGATATAGTTTTCTAAATAGGAGTTGGCCATTTTATTAACTTGTTCCTCTCAGGAACCTGTTGTGATGAAGTAGGTATCCCCAAAACAATCTGTATCCCCACGGGGCGGGGGGCTGTCAGGTCTGCTTAATAAAATGATGGTTTCTGTAAATAAAATGCTGAAATGCAGACAAATAGGTCCGTAAGTGAGTTGTTTTGCCATAATTTTGTGACCATAAAGCATTTGCTGAGGTACATTTTGTGTAGTTTTGTCAAATAAAACTCCGTTACTGAAAACCTCTAGTGCTTTCATTTCACCTCAATTTCTGTCATTAGAAGCATTAAAAAAAACAAATAAACCACAAATTTCCCTCCATCTGTGGGTTGTATGATTGTTGTTCTTTGAGTAGGAAGGCTTTTTGCTGTAGTTCTGGGGGGGGGAGGACAGATTATATCAGATGCCTGTTATAATCTGTATCCCCCTCTGAAATAGGAAAGGTTAATGTTAGCAGGTCAGGGACTGTGCTCAATAATATTTCACATTACACCTTATAACACCTGAAAGTATCAAGTGAATCCTTCACTCCTTGCTGTAGTTCTGGGGGGGAGACAGATTATATCAGATGCCTGTTATAATCTGTATCCCCCCTCTGAAATAATAGCAAATGCACAGATTTTTTTCAAAAGACAGATAGGGAAAAATGAAAAACCCTTCCTGCTCAAAGAACAACAATCATTTCAGTGTTTTATTTACAGAAATCATATATTTTATTAAGCAGATCTGACAGTCGGGCACCTCGCTCTGGTGGGGAAACATATTATTTTGGGGATACCTACTTTGGCACGACACCGCTTTGGTCAAATAATTCCAAACGGTTCATCAATATAAAGTCTGCTCTTGCTTTAATCCTAAAATGCAAAACAAAATAAGCGTTGACGTGTTTGGCAATTGTTGTTTTTCAAACAAGGCCCTGAGTAGTGCTTCCCTAGCTTTATTTAAAAAAAAAGTAAATTAATTAATTAGAATAAACTTTACTGCTTTACTTTAAAGCTTTGGTGTTTTTTCGCACAGACAACAAGCATTGTTCTGGTGTTCCTCAGTGCTGAAGGTTGTTTTTCTACCACAGAACCAAGGTCGGTTTGGACCAAGTTTTAGTGAGCCAAGATACAGTGCATATTGAACAATGATCGAAGAACTGTATAGCTGCTTTCAAATTGTTTTAGAAGAATATAACGCTTTATCAAGATCTCCGGAATTGCTTCCTCCAACAAGATGGACTGGTTTTCCTGGTCGCCCTCAATATGACATCACTTTTTTGCAAATCTCTCACTGCATTTCAATTGGAATGAACTGGAAACAGATAGCCTCTACTTTTGGTATTAACCATCGAACTCTCTACAGACACAGACAAAGCTTGGGAATCCAACCTTTACAATACAYTGTGCTGACAGACCAAGAGTTAAATACAATTGTGACTGATATTCTACAAAGGACTCCAAATGCTGGTGAAACTTATGTGCTTGGGAGCCTTGCATCTAGAGAAATACGAGTTCAGCGCTGGCGTGTTAGACAGTGTCTACAGGCATGTGGAGTGAAAGAAAACTTTACATTCACAAGTATCAACCTACCTCCTATGTTCACTTTTCTAATACAGTATGTTATCTCCTTAAGCAGGCGGTCGATCCAGTTGGCCGATCATTTCGCAGGAGGCGTACCATACGGCGACGGGTTTATAATGTTCAGACACCAAATCAGTTATGGTAGGGGAACAATATTGAAATATATAAATATTGTACATTGTCTACAATTGTAATGTGCCTTATTTAACTCTTCTTTTATGCAAATGTTCAGCCAGTTTCATTTAGCATCCTATGCTGTATTGCTGATGTAGGYCTTGTTTACTTTTGGAAATATCTTATATCTGAATATCCTACTTTTAATGAGTTTAGTGAAAATACATTTACACCCAAACAATAGATGCTGAATTTATTTTTTAACTTTTAGAAAAATATTCGAGTTGGCTATGTGGAAAACTTCACTAAATCAATATTTTCTTCTTCATTATTATTATTTCACTTTCATTGTGTAAGTTTATTCTTGGGCAGATTGTTTTTCTTATTTTCAAAAAGTCTATAAGCACATAGAAGCTGCATGGGATTTGTTTAATATTTATATTTGTGGTTAAAGGCAGTTACATCAAAAGTACTGTGAACAATATACTGGGAATACTGATGCTTTCTTAAAACATTTTAATCATTAGTACTCAATTGTTTTATATTGCTCCTACCTATGATCTTCTTTTTCTTTTTAACAGGCATTTTGATGGCAACCATAAGCTTGTGAGATGGCGGATGGTTTTTCACGGCTGTGTGGACAGCTACAGTCTAACTATTATATATATAAAATGCTATAACAACAATAGAGCCTCTACTGTATTGTCCCTGTTTGTAATGGGCRCTCGTAATTTTGGTTTGCCTTCAAGAGTAAGGTGTGATCATGGAATGGAAAACACACTCGTGGCTCGTTTTATGTTGGAAAGAAGGGGGCTCAACAGACGTAGTGTCATTGCAGGCATGTCTGTACATAATCAGCGCATTGAAAGATTGTGGGCAGAGCTCAATAGGGTAGTCTCCAACCATTTCATAAATCTTTTTAATTTCATGGAGCAGCATGGCATCCTTGACTCTTTAAATGAGATTCATCTATTTTGCCTTCATTTTGTCTATGTGCCAAGAATTTAAAGAGCCACATTAGAGTTTCAAAACCAGTGRAATAACCACAGACTCTCCACAATGAATGGGCGGACACCACTTCAGTTGTGGCATTCAGGTGTTGTAAACCACATTGCACAACAAAATACAGCTGTAGATTCTATTTTTGACCTTGATGAAAATTTTGGTGTTGGCAATGATGGGCCTTTACCTGGTATTCAGACCAATAATAATATTATTATTCCAGATATTGCTGTAGGAATAAATGACACAACAGTTAATTTGATGAAGCAAAATTTCAATCCTCTGCAAAATGATGGAAATTATGGGATTTATTTATTTAACTGTTGTAACCTTTGTTGAACAACGTAATTCCTAATCTGTAGAATTTTGTTCTTTTGTCAAACATAAGAGATGTTGATGCAATGTTTTAATATGATATTTCTTAGTTACTTTGTCCATTAGTAAAACTGAAGTGCTTATTTTGCTTTTCTCTTTTTTTAATGAAACGCTGAAATAAACAGTACTGAAAGCGCATTACTTTTAAGTCTGTATTGAATGACTGCATATTAGGGCCATTTTGCAGATTAAAAAAGCAAATATCTAAGTCAAAACTCAAATTGTGAGTTTAAGAAACAAGAATTTTTTTATTGTTAAACTACACATTTTATGACATGGAGCATTCATAAATTTGTCAGGAAAAAACTGAAGAGTGATCCCATCTGTTTTCCGTACTTTGAGCTTCTTGTTTAATTACAAAAAAGTTATTAAAATTAGATTGTTATACACCGATTGCAGAATACTTTCATCCAAGTGTTATTTGTAAAACATTTTTGATTTGTGAATATAATTTCATCACTTTTTATGCATTTATGAACAAATACAGCATGACCAGATGGACAGGTAAGGGCGACTGAAGCAATAGAAGCATTCAATGCAGTCATTTAAAATCACTGACAGTTTCTCCAACTTGTGACATCATGTTTCAGTAACCAGGTATTTTAAAATAAAAGGCTTAATAATTTGAAAATTATTTTTCTGTTAAGCCCTGTGATATTTGTCTATGAAAGGTTCTAAAAAAAGTTTACTTGCTGCTTCAATCACTCTGATTATATCTTTCCATCTGGCCATGCTCAATTTGTTCAGAAACTGTGTTAATATGGCCCTATATTAAAATTTCACAAATCACATTAGGCTTTAAATGTACCACAGTCAGTGTAGAATAAACTCCATTAAAGTAAAAGTAGTTAAAACATGGAATTTCTCTTTGGCTATTTTAGAAAACACATTTTTTTTTCTTGTAGATTTCTGACTTAATGTCACAAAATACTGAAATTTCATAAATTAAGATTAATTATTTTGAAAATTTATGAGTTTTTAACAACATAATTTCCTACTTTTTGTGTGTCTGTGTGACAATTATAGGAATTAATCAACATTTCAGAGATTTTTTCTTTAACAGATTTATTATTCTTTTTTTCTCCCCCTCCCATCTGCAAAAGGTCCCAACCACACTGTTGTAGTATTCACATATTCTGGAAGGAATACTTTTGCAACATGAGAAGTAGCCTACAAATTTTGAGAAAATATTAACATTTATGTAGACAACCAAACAGAACTGGAACACTGGAAAAACAATATCCADCTAGGAAATGTAACAAACAGGCAGGTGTGAGGTCATTTGAAACATTTCAGAATTAAAACAATATAAAACCAAAGGCTGAAGTCAAAAATACTTCACTGTTTTCTTCCATCCATCCATCCATTTTCTTCCGCCTATCCGGGGTCGGGTCGCGGGGGCAGCAGCTTCAGAAGGGAGGCCC